TGTCTTTAAAGGCTTTCAAGTTCCAACCGGATCAAGCCCTGAGTAGCCTAAGTTATGGCTGACCCTGCTTTGAGAAGGAGGTTGGCCTGGAGGTCTGCTCAAGTCCCTTCCAACCTAAATTACTCAAAGATCCTACCCGACTCAGGGCACAGAACAAACTTCCCCCTCCCCTCTGCCTGTGTAACTTTAGCTAAAGCACCCATGGCTACGTCGAACAGCCGCCCCCTCACCTTCCTCGGGTCGATGCTTTTCCAGTGATTCTTCCCCACCTTCGCGGTTCAGTATTCCTCAATCTGCCATTCTCGATTTAATTAACCGTGTTTAATTTTTTTGCTGTCCCCGTGGCTGTGCTAACCCGCCCGCCCCGAACAAAAGCAGCACAGAGCTCCCGGGAGGGCAGGGCGGCCCGGCCCGGCGCGGCCCCCGCCGCTACCTTGATCTCGCTGTCGAGGAGGCGGGTGCGCTGCACGATCTCCTCCGTGGACATCTTCAGCACCTCCTCGCCGACACCATCCTGCGGGGCACAACGGCAGCGTTACCGTCAGCCCGGCCCGCGGCTCGCCCCGGCCCCGCCGCCCCCGGCCCGGCCCTGGCCCCGGCCCCTCACCTCCGACTCATCCCACACCGACGCCATCTTTCCGCCGGCCCGCGGGAGCGCGCACGGCGCGGCGGGTTCGGCGCGGCAGATTCCGCACTGCGGCTCCCGGCGGCGCGGGGCGGGGGCAGCGCCACGGGCGGGACGTGCGGCCCGGGGGTTCCGCGCACCCTCCCCTGCCCCGGCGCTGCCGCCGCCGCCCCGATCGCGGCCCCCGCCGCCCGCGGCCGTGCCGAATCTGCCGGCGGGGCGGGGAGCGGCCGGCGGGTCACGTGCCGCCCCCAAACCTGCTGAGTGATGGCGGCGGCGCCATCGCGGGGCGGGGCGGGGCGGGGCCCGGCGCTGGAGGCAGGCGGGGCGGTGTGCGGGAGAAAGCCTTTATTACAGCCAGTGCCCGTACATGGCAGCGAGGGGAAGGGGAGTGGGGCCGAGCTACGAGGTGGCCCCGCGTAGGGGAGGCGAGGAGGGCCCCGCCAGGCACAGCCCGAGGGGGCCCGGGAGCGGCTCCGTCAGTCCCCGCCGGGCCCGGGCGGTCAGACGTAGCCGGGCTTCACCGACAAGCGGCGGCAGTTGGGGCAGCCGCGGGTCCCGTTGGTCTGCAGGCACCTGCAACGGGAGGAGGTCGGGTCGGGGGCGGCTCCGCGGCCGGAGGCTCCCCCGGGGCGGCTCCGCGGCTCTCGTACACCTCAGAGCTGTTCCCCGTGGCCCTCCCGCCACCGGCAGGGACCGCATCTCCCCCCGACCCTTCCAGGGAGGCACTTGGGCAAATTCCTGTACAAAAGTCTGTTCTGTACTGCTGGAGACAAGTCCCCAGAGCTCATCGGACATCTCTCACTGCCCAGTAGTTTGATGCTAATTCTGGTATCAGTGTGAAACTTCGTTATTAAATTCTTAGTTTCCTGATTAGTTTTCAGAGTGTTTTGTAACACTCGTGGTTTTTTGTACAGTATAATGATGGTGCAGCTAACTTCTTTCATGGCAGTAGCATAATAACAGTCTGAGCAACTTCTTCACTTCTCTTTGCCACTAGCCAAAGGAGAAAGTGAGGGGACGTGGGAAAAAGCCAAACTGCCCCTGGGAATGAAGAACTGATTCCCCAGGAGGAGTCAAATAAGAATTTGTGAACTGGACTGACCACCTACAAAATGAGGACATCAGTAAATAATTATTTAGAGGACAAGTGGGAGTGTGATGGATATGATGGCTAAATCTCACCCTCCAAGACTCTTGGCACTGCAAGGGGATCCTGCAAGGCAGGATCAAGACAAAGACCTGGGGAACAGTGTGCATAGGACTGCTGTGGGCTTAAGCAGCTCTTTTCTATGACTAATGTAATGATAATAATTTTAGTGCTTCCAGCTAATTACTTCAAATGGAAGAAATGGGAGCAAGGTAGTGCCTGGAGCTGGTTGTTTTTCTCCCCAATGGACTCTCCACACATGCCGCAGTACAGCTCCATCTCCTCCACACATTCATGGAACTTCACTACATGGTCACGCAATTCTTGCTGCTGCTCCTTCGTGCGATAGATCCTTTCACACAGGCAGTGGAGCTTCAGCAGGCCGAGCTGCAGGTGAAGGACAGAAACAAGTGAGCAACAGGATGAACACAGACCAGAAACAGGAGTGGGAACACCACAGCCCCATCAGCCAGCTGGAGAAACATCAGCAGGCCTCAGCAATTGCTGTCATTAACCCTTCTTCTTTGTGTCACAAAAGGTAACACCAGGTTTGAGACACTCAGCAGCTCTTCCACTCATGGTTTCGCTGAGCTACCCCTGACATACATCACTTTCCTTTGCCTCCAGCCAGCACACAGTTCAGCTGCTCAGGGTAAAAATATTTTTCAAGAAGAGACTTCTAATCCTCTAGTTCTCTGTCTGTTTCACACCCCATTTCCACTGCTTCTCATTCTCCTTTGCCTATCCCATTGTGACTCCTCACTCATTTTTCAGACTTGCATACTGATGATTATCTGTGCAACTGCCCACAACCAAACACTTAGTGACAAAGCAAATCTCAAACACTCACTGGTTAATAGGAATGCTAATGAGCAACGACAAGCCTTCAATGTTTGACATCTTATATTGCCTGACACAAGACTATGAAGAATGCTGTAAAGGATCCTACCTTGTTCCCTAGTCCCTCTGCCAGCTCCTGTGCCTTTTCAATGCTTTCCAGAGCCTGTGAATTGAGAGCACTGGTTGTTAGTTCTCAGCCAAATATATGAAAACCAGGCTTTTATGAATGTCCTATTAGAATTATTTAAAAAAAAGAGGTAAAGAAGTACAGAGTAAAATTTGGATTAACAAGTATCCCTGTAACACTGGAGAATCAAAAAAGCTTTTTTTGGGAGGGCAGATTTCCCTCCCCCACCAAAAGTTAATCCGTAAGAAAAAGCTGGTTTCTGAAGGACCACAAGTAATGCAAGAGCTACATTTCTGTCACAGACACTCAGTGTCAGTGTTGGCAGAGGCTGGTCCCCAAGCAGAGAGAATACAGACTTATTTAAACTCAGTCCCACATGCTCATTTGGGGCTGGGATGGCAAAGCAAGCCTTGTCCCCATCCTACCTTGCAGGCTCAATAATTGTTGGGCAACTTCACTTTCACTTGTACCAGAGGTGAGGAAAGGGATCACCAGCCCCAATGCACCACACTTATCCATTTTTTCCTTGCTGTTCATGTATCCACCTTGCCTTACTTACACATGGTGTGATGTAGGAGTGTTCTGCTATCCATTTTTAAAATCTGAAGGAAATATTTAGCATAGCAGCTGTCATACCAAATGACTCCCTACTTTCACCTAGATGTCACAGTGTTCCTTGCTGTTCTGATAATTAGTCTCTCTTTTCCAGAGCTATTGAGATCTGCTTGCTATTTTTCCAAGGGGAAGAAGAGGTCTCCCTTGTGATGCAGTAGTTTTCAGGAGAAACATTATAAAATTTATACCCTATAATTTGGCATTACTGCTGTTGTAGGAGGAGAGGACCAGATGAGATGCAAAAATGTGCTGTGAATGCAGAGGAGATGGCATTAGACTTGTGGTGGCAGCAACAGCCTAGGATAAGGAAATGTAGGAGAGGGAAGCAGGAACTGAAGGCCAGCAGGGAGAACATAACTGAGAACTGTGCTTAGGAAGACTGTGTACTGAAAACTCCTGAAATTAATGATTGTGAACAAGCATCAAAGTGAAATGTGTGGACTAAGGGAAAGGATGTTGAAAAGTCTAGGGGACAGTTTGTCTTGGACTGCACAAGAATGAGGGCAAGCAAGCTGTGAGCAGCTTTGGAGGATCTGAAATAGCATTGATTATATTACACTCAAATGAAATGGACTAACTGGCAAAAGAGACTGGGAAGATGGAAGAAGCTTGAGCAAAACCAGGGAATCTGCAAGTGGAAAGTTAGCAAATTGCTTTATTAAGTAACTGATACAGGGATGAGTAGCATGAGAAATGGAAACTGGGCCTGCCAAGTTGAAGAACAGGCTTGGGTGAATATTCAGGGATGTGACACCTAAGGAAGTCACATTTGGTCAACAGACATAAGGTCCCTGACCCAGCAGGGCAGACTTCCCTCTATTGCCTGGAACAGAATACAAGATTCCTCCACTTTCTTCTTCTGTGGGATTTGGTGAGATTAGAATTCTGTGCAAAGCCCGCATCATGTTCTCACAAGTGAGAGCTGCTTGATATCAGACAGTGGCTCGAGATAGAATCAGTGAATGGAAAAGTTTGATGAGTGCTCTGAATATTGTCTCCTGCAGAGGCCTACCTGCTGTGTCCTGTCCCGTTCTTTTGATACTGAGCTAGCTTTTCAAGTCCAGTTTCTCTTCCCATTGCTAACAAACATGGTGGTTACTTCCTGAGATTGCTCAGTGTGTCTCACCCAACTGATTCACTGATGGAGGCACTCTGATGCTGACGGCACCCTGAACCTGTCTAGCTGGACATACTGATGTCTGGGTTGCTTCATTTGAGCTAAAATTCTTGGTGTCTCAATATGTGTGATAAGAGCAAAATTTCATCATATTTAGACCCAACCTGCATCTTGATGTGGCACTGTGTTCAGTTGTTCAGAGCTAGTTCAGGGCTAAACTTTGAGCATTTAATTCTGTGGCTGAATAATGTTCCTGCTATGCAATGTGCTGCATCTAGTGCAGTCTGGATTTTAACAGCAGTCTGGATTTTAACACACATACACACTGTCTACGCCTTTTTAGTATAAGTAACTTCACCCCCTTGTTCTATCTTGACTGGTTATCTATCCCCAAATAAATTCCTGCTCTCATTCCTGTTTCACATCAGACCATCAAAGTTTCTCCAAGAATTTTATGCCACATTTGCCTGCAAAGCACATGGTGGAGCTGTAGAGCTGTCTAAACATCATTAGCACATCAATGAGCTTAGTCATAGAACTAAAAAGTAGGCAGGGGAAGCTATTTCAGAGCATAAGGCTTCCTTCCTCCAGTGCTGGTTTCTCAGCATAGAGCTTAAAAGTCATGAGGATTGACTAATGAGGCAGTTCTGTAACTTAGCAGTCTGACTCAGAATACATGTTCCTACCATTAGTAACAAATCCCTGGCTGAGAGAGACCATTCAGAGAAATGTAACTCTACCAGCAACAGACCCTGTTGGTAGAACCAAGGGGGTACAGGTCTCTTCTGAACTGTACCCTCTTCTGAACTGTGCAGTACAAGACTGTGCTCTAGTCTTGTCCTACAAACCTCTGTAGAACCAAGTTTGTAACTGACCTTGTCCAGCTCCTTTTGGATCATCCAGCACTTAGTCACTCCTAGCAGCACCTGCACCAGGCCCAGGCGGTTCCCAATCTCTGTCATGATGCTCATGGAAGAGTCATACCGAGGAAAGGCTGTCTGCAGACACAGGGAGGAAAGCAAATGTTTTGCTATGAACTCTTTTCATGCCCTCTTGCTACTCCTCCCATCGTTCCTGGCAGGAAGGAGCTGTACCTGCACATCCCTGCGACTGCGATGGATATCTGCAAAGCAGAGCAGACACAGTGCTTGCAGCGGCCGGTCACCATGCTGCAGGGCAATCTTCATGGACTCCTGCAAGAAATTGCCTCTGGTCAGTAGAACAGCCTGTTCCTGTTCAAAACAGCAAGGCTGGGACTTTGGACTCTAGCCACTAGAAGCTCAGCTCCAAAGAAATGGCACCATCTTTTAAGGCAAGGAAAATGTTTTTCTCAGGTTCCTAACCAAGGACCATTCATAGACCCAAATTTTGAAGCCCTCTGGCTACAGAAACTACAGCTCTAAGACTGGCAGGCATATCTGCAGTCACGTGTGAGTGGCAGGGTCTCTCTCTTGCAGCAGGGCATGGCAGGATGCCCTGGCAGAGCCCCCAGCTGTGCCCCTGCCCCGTACCTCGCAGCAATCCATGGCATCCGCCAGGCGCCCCAGCTTCCGATAGGCCACGGCCATGTGGTACTGGCTCATGGCGCGGTACTTCAGGCTCCAGCCTTTCCCGTAGTCATTCACCAGCTCAGCAGCTTTGCAGGGGAAAAACAGGGCTTTCTCATAGTCCTGTAAGGCAACAAGCACACAGACAGCAGTCACAGCAAAAATAAAGCAAAAAGGAGAGAAGGAAAAAGGCCAGCTATTTTTCACTTACTAACACTGCAACAGTTACCAGATTTCTGCACATGTTTAAACTCATGCTGCTCCTCTTCTGTGTGTGCAGTATTTCGGTGGATATCAAATTGTGAAAGATGGAATTGCCATATACTGAATCCTTATTATTCTCTGCGTTCTAGACAATGGGGCAATGACCCAGCAAATGAATTTTATGTAGTATGCCATAACTTTATTCTGCAGGAACCGTTTACCCTCCTCTATAAGCAAAGGCTGAAAACTTTCTCTGCTCTTACATCATCTTTATTTGTAACATCTACATGTAGCCTTCATTTTCTCTAAATGGTGAGTTTGGATCTCCAAGAAGCTCATTATCCATCATTGCAGGAAAGAGGAACTAAGACTCCTGGCCTCATCAAATTCACAAAAAGTAATAATACATTTTAAACATCTTTTTTTTTGCATTAAAAGCATGTTAGAAATAAATCTTATTTTACAATAATTATGTAAAACATCTTAATATCTAAAACCATTTTCAAGTAAGTTATATAAGACCGCAGAAGTGAAAAAAATTTCATTTTTTTTTTATTCTCCACAATGCAGAAAGGAAACCACAGATTCTCAAATTTTCTTTCTCCCTTCTTATTTCACATCTGAAAAGTGCTCAGCACAATGTTATTTTCTTTATTTCTGGTCACCACACTTCATGTGATGATCTTCTATGAGTGAAGAAATCAGGACTTTGTGAGAAAAACCTATTTTTTGCTGTTTGTACTAGAAGTTAGAACTGGCAAATCACTCCTGTGCTCAGTTCCTGCCTGGTTTTACCTATAGCTTGCTGGCAGCTATTTGCCTACAATAGTGGTAGAAACAGAGAGTCCATGAGTTTTGGCTGCCAGCCCTGTGTCTCTGATGTGATCTTCTTTGAAGCTAAGTTTGATCTTTTCAACACACATATTCACAGCTGCTTCTGCCGTGCTGTGTAAACATGACACTAATCCCCCCATCCTTACTGTGGAGGGGAGTACTCCATTTGGATTTTACAAAGGGATTTTAGCTTACAGTGCTCTCTCAGCACTTCCTATAGGAAAGACAAAGGCTGAAATTCACGTCATTTCCAGTGCTTCCCTGAATCTGAGGGACACCCACCCTCCTGTCCCTTAGGTGACTGTACCTTTATCTGGGTGTAGAAGTTCCCGAGGCTGCAGCAGACTCGACACTCCAGCATCTTGTCATCGTTGTTGTGTGCGTAGCGTAAAGCTTTCTCAAAGCACTCCAAAGCCTTCTGGAAAATGCTGAGGCCCAAGAAGGCATTGCCCATGCTGAGGCTCACCTGGCCATTCAGCTGCATGCTCACAGTGGTACCCTGCATGTTGAGACACGTCTTACAGTAGGAGATGGTTTTCTGGAATTCACAGAGTTTCTCATTGCTGCGAGCCAGGTTCAGGTAGCTCTCTGTAAGGAAATCTGGGTCTTCCAGCTCCCGTGCTGTGTCAATCTGGACCACTGCAAACTTTAAGTAGAGAAGATAGTGTTTACAAAAGTGTGTAGTTTATTTAAATACAGCTCAAGCACCCACAGAGTAGCACCCTGTGCTGGAGAAAGAGTCTCATCTCTGAGCAGGGCAGACAAGGCCATCAGCACATGGAGAAGCATTGTATGCACTGAGCAGTTATCTGGTGGCTTAAAAGGCCTATGAAGACTCAGAAGAAACCTCTCCCTCTCTTCACACAGTTTCAGGGCAGGGAAGATGAACTAGGCTGGCTGTAAGGGGAAAACAGCTGTTAAATGGCCCTAAAGGCAAGCTGGTGAAGCAGGAAACATCTGACACAATGCAGTTCTGTTTTCTTCCACTCATTGTAATGTATCCCACTTTCTCTGGAATTCCTAAGCTATTAAAATATTCTTTTTTCTATTAATATACTATAGTATATTAATAGTGTATATAATAATATCCATTATATATCTATTATATATCTAATCTATCTATTAGTATATATATTAATATCTATTAGTATATATAAAATATACATTTTTCTATTAATAGAAAAAAGTAAGCTACTTTTTTAAGGAATTTTCTGCTAATAAATTGCAGTCTTGATCTTGACAGTCTTGGTTCTATAACCTCCAGGATTTGTTGCATACTGTTCTCTTCAATGAAGTCTCTAGCTGCAAACTCTTCTAAGCAGTAACTCTTTATGTTCTGTGATGAAGCAAGCACAAGCATTCAAGCTGGCTTGAATCAGTATCAGTAGCTGATAGCAAAGGTGGCAATTTTCATTAGACATTATCAGGATTATGGATGGCAAATTCCAAAGGAATCACTTACTTCCTTTTTATATCGTGGCTACACATAATAATTTAGGCTACTAGAACATCAACAAAAAACCCCAAACCAAAACAAAAAAACCCCAACAACAACAACAGAAAACCACACACAACCCCCCCACCCCAAAAACAACAAAACAAAACCACAAAAAGCCCCAAACAAAACCCCCAAACATCACCAATCATAAACTGTGTATGTTGGGTTTGTAATCATCTTCTCAGTTCCCATTACAGTTTAGGAAAGCTCCTATGTGGACACAGTGGTGCATGCTAGCTCATGCTTCTCCACATTCCCTTAATTTTGCACAAGTTCTTCAGTATTTCCTAGTTGCCACAGCCTCTTCTCTTGGTGTGTAGTAATTTTTCCTCTTCAGAAGAGGTTGAGCATCACAGGCCTTCTTAAATCACTTTTTATTTCATGCCTTTAATTTTGACTCATTTTCTCCTGATATTTCCTCTCTCAATGGCTTATTGCTGAAGTTCTCCTTTCTCTATCCTTTGACCAGTTGCTCTGTAAAATCTTCAGTTTGACTGAAGCCATTTTTCCTTCCTAATGCTGTGAAGAACTAAAATTCACCTTCTCTGATCCCACTTTCTGTTCTCTTCACAGGTAAAGAATTATGTTTGGGTATACTAAGCTCACTCCTTTGCCTTTTATTTTTTCCCCATGAGTCTTCAGTATTTCCTTCAGGTAGCTACATCTTACCCTTTTTCTCTTCTTTCTTCCCCAGTCAATCTGTTGTTTTTGCCAGCACCTAATTTCATACCACTTAACAAAATTCTTTGTCTTCAAATGTTTTCCAGGTGTATTAATATCTCTCCTTTCTTCTTCATCTTAAGTATTTGGTTTCAATATAGGGCTTTGACATATGCATGGCTTTATCAGTGAGGTGTTCCCCTCTCCTCGCTCCAATTCCAAACAGAGCTACCAAAATCTTTTCAATGAGATGTAGACATCCCTTTCACATTTTGTTCTAAATGCTGAATGATGGCCAGTCTAGTAAGAGGCAACCCAAAACAGCAGGACAAGGATATCAAAGCCCTTTAGTAAGACCCTATTTCAGGCTGGGATAGTTTCTTAAGACTATTACAACACTCTCTTGCCTTGTCTTACAGATTCTTGAGCTGCCCTCCCAAATGCTGCCTGCTGCTCTCTGTACACATCCTCTTCTCAGATCCACATATCGGCTTCTTTTTGTTCATTTAATTAAACTGTTTATGCTCATGTGCTTGAAACATAACTTCAGCTGCTTTTTACCACTCTCCCATCAAGCCCTACATCCTTCCTCCTTTCTTCTATACTGTCCTGGCAATTGGAAGCTGCTCTCTGACCTCAATTGTAAGACATCTGGGGTGTCTCAATTACCTCACCAAAACAGCATCTTCTTTTCCCTCTTGTTCAGCCCCCTGGCAAACAAATAATTGCAATTAGAAAACCCCAGTATAAGATCTATTTTAGATATCAGCCAGAAGCTGAACAAGAGAACAGACATGTCTCCACAAGAACGATACTTATTTTACAGAATCCACTTCGAGTTCTCCTTTTGTGCTGACATACAGAATGTACAAATGCCTTTGTAGTGGACAAAGGCTCTGTTCTCATACCTGCTCCTGTAGCCTGATAACATGGTGTGCCTGTATGTGGGAAATAATCAAGACAGCTTCCCATGAAAAACTAGAGAACTTAAATAACCCAGGAATCCTGATGAACCAGACCCAGTGAAAAATCATATCCTGTGTATCTTGTGAGCTGCAGCTCTTGGTGAGCACAGTGATCACAGCAGCCCAGAACATGCACACAGCAGCTGGTATTTTCTGTTACACACAGAACACCCCCCACTTCAGGTTCTGATCTCCAGCCACGTTCCATCACGGCTGCGACACAATGGCATGCATTCATCTCCAGTTCACCTTACCTTCAGCATGTCTTTGTATCTGCCCATCTCTGCATGAGCAGTGATGAGGCAACCCAAAACCCGAAACCTGCCAGCAGGATCCGCAGACTTCTCCAAAACCCTCATCCAGACTCGCAGGGCCTTTTCGGTCTGATTAGACTGGTAAAGATGGAGTCCTTTCTCTATCTGTTGCTTTGTCTGGTCCTGACCCATCTCCCATGGATTAAAAAGCCTCATACACTAACCTCTAAGGACAGCAAAAAGGATGTGCTCACAAGAGAGCACAACATAAAATGCCCCACTAGAAGAGGGCGGGTTGTGTGCTCAGAGGGCCCAGAGCCATGAGAGCCCAGCCATGTCAGGGGGCTGGAGCTGTGGTAGGCAATGGCAAGAAGTGGTTGCTCAGCACTGAAGGCAGAATCCCAAATCCACTAGGCAAACACCTTTCTTGCTAGGGCTCCATCAGTGCATTCATCTGTCCAATCCCGTAAACAAAGAGCAAAAGCACGACAGGGAGAGAAAGAGAAAAATCTCAAGCCACAGGAGTGAAACTCAATCTGAACAGCCAGTGCTGGTCTCCTCCCCATTGGCTGCAGCTGCTCCTGCCAGTCCAGCTCACGTGGCTCCCAGGAATTCTAGTCAGGCTCCCCAGCTCCCAAGGTCACGGTGCCAACTGCCCACCCCTGCCCGCCAGTATGCAGCTTATAAATACCCCAGGGAGAGACAATTGGCTGCAGTCACAGCCTCGGGATGCCTCGGCTGTCTCTTTCCTCTCTGGCCATCTCCTTAGACAAGCACTGCTGGTGGTGGGCTAGCTTGGGAGGAAGCAGACTCAGGTAGAATAATAGAGTAGGAAAAATATATGTCTTAAAAGTCAGGTGTGAACAAGGCAACTTCAGTGTGTACACACGTGCAGTGTTACACTTGCAACAATGTACTTGACACTTTGCTAGGTACAAAATCAGCCTCCCTTTTGAGGACCCCAGTTGGCATCATGGACTGTTTTTATGGACATAGGTTGGCTCTGTCACAGATTTGCTGCAAATACACCTCTGACTTCCTAATTTTAGGACAAAGAGCTAACCATGCTGAAAACCTTTGTTCTTGACTGAATGTTGCTCCCTGTCATCAGATGAGTGTGGCAGTCCTCCAAAAGTTTCCAACAGAAGTTCTCAATGGCACTGCTTAAGTTCTGCATCCAGAACTTGATGATCTTTTATGATGAACAACAATAAAGACACAGAACAACAGGTATCTGCACTTTTTGGTTGCAGGAGAGGTGCTAGCCCCATTAAAAGATAGCTTTATGTCTCCCACACTCTGTTGAAAAAATCAGACTGGTTCCTCTGAGAGTCACATTTAATACTCTCACCAACGTGCTGCAGCCTTGGTGGTCCAGAGATTTATTCAGTCCTTCTTAAGAGATACACCAAACCTGGGAGTAGGGGGGCAGGTAGAGAATGCTACAGGGATATTGAATGGTTTTCAGATGCAGAAGTTCCAGGAACCAGATTGATGATTCTTCTACTGGGCAAAGATAAGCAATTTGAAGTTTTAACAGACCTGCCTGCAAAACCGGTTATGTCTCCAGCTACTTCCCTGATTCTTGGTGAATTTAGTTGCAATTCTTCCCCAAGCAAAGGTAAATACCCACAGAATCACCTCAAAGGGTACCAATCAGACTATCCTGGCCTGTCAACAAAAACCCAAGGGAGCCTTCCTGAGGTAATATCCTTAAAGAAAGCAGGACACAAAATAAAGAACGATAGTCTATCCAGAGTCTTTACATCATAGCACTCATGATTTTAAGGGGTTACATATGTCCTTTATACAAAATTCCCTCAGAAAAATATTTCAAAAAGAAAAATGTTTTAAATTGTAGAAGGGTTTTGCTACAATAAGACTGATTCTCTTTTGGGAGCTCATATACAGTATGATATTTGCATTATTTAACTTAGCTTTGTTTTTCAGAGATATAATGTGCTAGATGATATTTCAGCATAGATTATATGTAGTCTCAAACTCCTGAAGTAGAAATTATGGAAAAATCTACTGAACCCGAAGAAAACTAACGGTGAGGCGCTGCTGGTTAATGGGCAAAAATCACTTCAGCATCACTTCAGCAACATACAGTTGAAATTATTAGCTAGGTATTTTATAGATTTTAGGATTTGCATAAAAGTCTGATTCAGAATATTAAAAAATGCCTCCTCCTTGTAGTAATTCTTCTATGTTCTCTAGATGTAGGTGGTGGGATGGAAACAAGATGCAGATCAGTCCCCATGGAATAAAAATGACAATGGTGAGGCCATTCAGATTTCTAGACTTGGAGAAGCAGCCACCGGAGCCTGCCATGTAACAGAATCAAGCCAGGACTCAGGAATGGGGAAAACAAAAATTTTATCATTCTTAGTAGATCAGACTACTTTGCAAAATTAACCTTCCACAGGTGAGCTGCCTGTAACACAAACTCATCCTGAGATTCTTTTGGACCAGGTCAGCAAAGCACTGTTCCCTTCCCCACACAGCATAGCCAAAATGAAGAGGGTGCCTTGCAGCCTGACAAAACCCATCTAACAGGAGATGATCCGCCCTGCATTTTAGCTCCTTGCTTTTGAGCACTATGAAATAGTGCTTAGTTTCTTAGGAATCAATTTGCAACTCGCCTATTGAGATGAAAACGCCCTAGTAAACTAAGGGCTAAATCCATCAAGTTCAAACGGGTCATTTTCAAAAAATCAGGAACATGCTCTGATATGGAACATACCACTCTGAGCCCAGCTGCAGCTGCCTAAATAAGGAGGGATAAAAGATCAACATTGCCTGCCTGTGCTACTTCAAAAAAAGCAATGGCATCTGTCTGTGACTCAAGATAGCTGTAATTCATTGAAGATCCAGGTACAGCTTCTACTGCCAATGATGCACAGTTTCTCCTTAGGAAGTGCAAATAAATGAGCCTGAATGGTGCTTGGCAACATCAAATTAGGGAATCTTACCTGTCACACACGCAGTGGCTCATGCACTCACTTCTTCAGTGACCACACTGACCTGCTTCTCCTCCTCTCCCTGCTCTCCATAAGGCCCTCAGTGACTCCTGGCCGCAGGAAGAGAGCAGAATGTGGCAGGTAAAATCCGGAAGAGTGGAGTCAAAACAAATTGTGAAAGGTGGAGGTGGATGTGAGAGGAAAAACATTTCTCCTAGAACATTCAGCATCAGGATTTCATCTACAACTTTATGTATTTCCTACAAATGCTGATAAATGTAACAACCCATGTGAAAATGCTGATTATTCTCAGAGATTATTATACTGGCTCTTAGGTGCAGTTTGATTGTGTACAGATTGGTGGTGGCCTTTTAAATTGAATAAAAAGCCTTAAAAAAATAAAAAAACCCCTCTGACCCAAGAGAGATCTGGTGTCAGTTCTGTAAGATGTAACTGGCAAAGCTTTGATTGTATAAGACAAGGTGAGTGAACTTTCTGCACAAGCTGGAATCTTCCATTCAGCCTAAACAAACCCTTTTTTTCTGATTCAATTGTTTCTCTCCAACCTTGGCCTCAAGATGTATCTAGACTGAAACCCCTGCCTCTCTCCTCAACAGCTGCAAATTAACTGCAGGGATGCCAAGGCAGTCTGTAACAGGTGGCTCTGTGCCTCGTGCCCCAATTGGTGCGCTTAGGGCAAGGAATGCAGCACTGAATCCTGATGCTTTGCAAGAGCTCTCAGATTTACAATCATGTAGGAAGTGATGGGGTGAAACACAGTATCCCAGATAACACAGGAAAAGGACACAGAGGAGGAACATAGCTGTCCTAAAAACGCTTGCAAGTCTCCAAGATGCAAGACAGCAGAAGGAAGGAATAACATCAGGGAATTTTAGGAGCTTTCAGAAATGGCCAGCAAAATCATGGCCATTGTGGTACTTTCCTTCTGAGAGAGGCAATAATTGTGTCAAAATTGTGGCAGGTTTCTAAATGTTTCGGCTATGCCAAATACTTTTTATTATTTTGAAATGAGATATCATAAAATATATCTTAGTTCTAAGAGCAAAGCAGGGAGCCTTTGCTTATCACTACTAAGTAATCCAAATCCAGTTGCAGTTTCCCTGTGTAGTGTTTCCAGGATGAGAAGCGCTGAGGGCTGCAGGGACCTGATGCTGCAGTACCAGGGCAGATTCAGCCAGCTTGGCTGTGCTCCTAGAAGGGGAAGGAGGCAGTGGCAAGTGAGCAGCTTGTGAGAGTGGCATAAGCTGGTGCCTCTCTAACCCCACACAGCACCATGCACGCACTGGTGCTGCTCCTGCAGAGCTGAGGGCTGCTGCTCTGCCCAAAGCATTGAGCCCCTGAAACACCCCAAAGCACAAGTGCATGGACAGGCACATGACTGCTTGGCACCAGTTCTGTGAGGCTGGATATGCCCACTCCTTACTCCTAAGTGTTGAACATATTTGCATAATCCAAGATCCTCAGCTTTTACATATCTAAGGGGGACTTGACTCTCAAATCATCCAAAATGGACATGTATCAACCAGAAAACGTTTTCCATTTCCATTCAAAGTAGCTCATTTACACAGAAACAAAAGTCCGGTGTGATATTGTACATCCAGAACAAGTGGTACTGGGCCATGAATATTTTTGTGTCTCACAACTAGGAAACTGTAAAATAGGTCTCTCATCTTTCTCTTCATCTTCTCACACTTGAACCCCAAAAAGAACCTCAAGCTTAAGACACAAATACAACACACAAGGACTCTTCTCAAACAGTTTAATAGCAAATAAACAAAGGAAGGTACCACACTTGGCATATACAAAATGACTTGTTGTCGGTGTGTCTGTGCAATTAAAACAGCTTTAAGTTGCCCTTTGGGACAAAAAGAAAAAAAAAACACACACACAAAAGGAAGAAAATTCCTTTAACACATACTCGCTTGTTCCAAACTTGTAACAAATCTTCTCATTTTTAAATCCACTACACAAACTCTGTGATCAGATCAGAAAAGCAACACGCGCTCCTCTGCTTTTTAAACCATTAAAGTAAAATCTGTAATTCTCTACAGAGTACAACACAATTTCACACAAAAAGACATTTTGTTTTGCAAATCAAAACAAGAAAAAAAAGGAACAGCTCAAACAAGGTAAAGAAAAGCATTTCTACGACTGAACCACGACTTCGAGTTGATTAAATCCCATTAACTGCAGAACAGACTCTACATT